GAACTCGTTTATTTATTATCTTCTTCCTCTTCCTAATCTTCAATTCCAGTGTTCTTCAAAGGTTAGTTCTTGGTCTTATTTTCTCCCTCTGCAATGGCTCCCTCTTTCCAAGCCTTGCTGCTCTTTGTATAGATGAGTTGTATCTCTGCATTCCTAGGCCTGGTTTTCATCTAGTTCTAGGCTCTAATCCCATCTTTCCTCTGTTTTTGTTCCTTTGTTTTAAAACAGACACCCTCTATATAGCCCAAAATGACCCTGAACTCATGATCCTCTTACTTCTGTTTCCCAAGTGCTGGGATTATGAGTATGTGTCAACATGCCTAGTTTAATCTCATTTTTCTAACCACTTTTAATCCCCATCCAGATGTCCCATAGTCTATGGCACTCAAAATGACCCAAACTGAACTTTGTGTATGGATAACACGGTCTCACTCCTGGCTGGCCTGGAACTCACTGGGAAGACCAAGCTGTTCTCAGACTCACAGAGATCCACCTACCACTGTCTCCTGAGTGCTAGAATTAAAGTCCTATAACATCACATTAAAGCCAAACTCAACATTTAGGATGTGTTCCCTCTTACGGCATAATGTCTTTTTCTGTCAGTGCCTCCAGTGACCTAAAAGGAGCCTGTCAGGGCTTCCTGCACCCTGCTCAGGTTGAGAGTCTGGTTTTCGGACCTTAACTCTCTCAGGGTTGCCTCTTCCTCCTACTCACAAGTCTGCTGGGCTCTATACTCTCTGACTTACATTCTTGGCATGGCTGACTAATCTGTTTCCCCCAGTCCTGCTCCTTCCTACCAGCATTATCAAATACATCTTCTCAGAGTCCCCATGGCCACCCACTGTCCACAGAATGAAGCCTCCTCCTCAGCCACTTCTCAAGGCCATTCACACTTCACTCATTAAGGTGGGCTCATTCTGCTCTCCTTACACACATTCCTGCTACCTTCGCATATCGGGATCCTCCTTTCCTCAAGGTCCAGCTTCGTCTTCCTTAATCTAAAAATACTCCTCAGAGCCAGCAAATGGCTCTGGGGATGAGGGTGCTTGCTGCCAAGCTTGATGACACTAATTAGATGGCCAAGACTCCCAAAAGTTATCCTCTGACTTCTACGTACATGCCGTGGCCCGTGCATGTCTCTCCCCAGTCAACAAATTTCACAAAAAAAGACATTCCTTGCTCTACTCAGCTCAAAAACCCTGCTTGAGCTTCTCACTTTCTCAAATCTCCATTATGACAGTATCTTATCAGACCAGTACACCTGAAGGGAGGAAGCTGTCTTTTTCCTTCCTTTTAGGCCAAAGGTATGCCAAAATTCTGAATTCCTCCAGCATCATACTTAAGAAGCAGCAGGCACAATAAATACAGGATGACTTTATAAAATAATGAAATATTGCAAGCTGTGTGAATGAATGGCTTCAAATCCTTGAGCAACATTATGTGACAGGCTTACATTTGGGTTAAGACTAAAGAATGTGCCCATCCCCACAGCAACAGACCCTGTCCTGTAAAGCACACTCTCCCAGCCATCACCTTCATTCCAGCCAGCACCCACATTCCTCTCTCAGGCCAAGCCAGCAGCAGAAGCAGCCATCTTGTCTTCCTTTTGTGTCCACAGGAATTGGGTGCCTCTCAGCCTACTCTCTCAAGCAGACACCAAAAGGCCAGCTGGTTGCCATTGGCCTTCTTTCCACCTCCCTTGGGGGATAAAAGGGCAAAAGCACAGGGCAAGGAGGAAAGAGACCTGAATTCTGGTTCTGACCTACCATGAACTAGCTGTTTGTCCTTCACTGTAACACTCATACATGGGACAAAAACAGAACATGGTTCCCAAGCGTCTAGGAAAGGTGTCACTATTTATTTCTTTTTGTTGTTGTTGTTGTGGTTTTGGTTTTGATTTTTTGAAAGAGGGTTTCTTTGTATAGTCTTGACTGCCTTAGTACTCACTCTGTAGATCTGCCCACCTCTGCCTCCTGAGTGCTGGGATTAAAGGCCTGTGCCACCACTGCCTGGCAGTGGCTAGGTGTCTCTACTTCAAAGGGATGAATCCATAAGCATATCCTGGCATAGCACTTCACAAGCTCCATACAAAAACTGGAAGACAAGATGGGCTTGTCTAGCTTTTACAAGCTAGTATCCGGGACATTACCTTGGGAACTAAAAAGGCTTTTTAGGTCAGCTCTCCCCCCAGAAACCCTGAATTCACTGCCAACAGAACACAGTAACAGCCGAACTGCCTGTGGAAGAGACAGAAAGTTTCCTTCTGGATAGACCAGCTTTACAGTAAAGAGGAAGCAACCTGTGTCTTCAGGGAGTGACATGGCCTCATTACCCTAGGCCTGTAGATTGGCACTCCCAGCATACACCAACCACTTTCCACTGGGATCACAGAGTGGGGTCAAAGAAGAGTCACATCTGCAAACTATGGCTGGGATGGTATGGAAGAGATAAATGAACACAAAAACCCAGATCCCTGATCAAGGAACAAGAAGCAAAATCGTTATGAATCAGCCTTTAGCAACACACACCAATGGCTTCATCCCGAACAATTGCTTTCTTAGCATCACCAGCTTACCCAAACCTCCAGGGAGTCAAAGGATCTAAAGCAACATTCTCAGAAACTTCCTGGTAGCCTTATCCCCTAGCCCTTTCCACATTTGCCCATATGGTTTGAAGGAAGGCAGGGGAGGGACACAATCCCCCAGTGGCGTGCTAACAGCGCTGGCACATGTAGCTTCTGTCACTGACTAGAAAAGTCCCTTTCCTTCTCTGGGTTTTCCTTTTCTTCACTGTCCGATGAAAGCGCTGATTAAATCATTTTAGGGTTTGTTTGTTTGTTTGTTTGTTTGTTTTTGTTTTTCGAGACAAGGTTTCTCTGTGTAGTCCTGGAACTCGCTCTGTAGACCAACCAGGCTGGCCTCAAACTCACAGAGATCCACCTGCCTCTTACTCAGTGCTGGGATTAAAGGCATGCACAACCACCACCTGGCTATTTCTAGAGTTCTTGATGAAAGCTAGCTCCCTTCTAGGTCCTTAGCCCATGGAGAAAAGTCAGGTTATTATAAAGAACAAGGGGCAGCAGGACAAGGGTGGAGACCAGAGGTGTCCAGTGATGAGAGCCCATGGCTGCTCCTGGTGTAGGTACTTGTGAGTAATGCCTAGAGAAACAGGGGTGCCAGGCCTCCTAATGAGAAAAAGAGGCAAAAGGAGCTTCAGAATACCACTCAGTCTAGAGGAAACATGGAAGCAATGCAGGGAAGATAAGACAGGTTGTGTTCCAGGGTTCCTATCCTTAGAAGGGGGTAGAGCTAGTGAAGGCATTTGCTTCTTCCCGCCCAGGGCAGAGTGAAATGGGAAGTAACGACAGGGGGAAGAGTGGGGAGAGGAGTTCAGTTCAAAGACAAGACCTGTAACCAGGATGGCAAATTCTGGGGGGGGAATCAACTGCTAGGAAAGACTGTTACTATAAGGGTTTAGGGAAACCATCTGGTGTCTTGTAACCTCCCACTGAGTTCAAGCAGCAGCCACCACAGGGTACACTACTAACAACCAGCCAGAATAGTAGTAACTGAGTTAGAACACGCAGGCAGGGGAATTTATACACTGATAAGACAGGCAGGGTCAGGCGCACACTGCTGGGTGCAGAAGGAAACAGCCTGGAGAAACTGTCACTCATAACTCATGCCTCTTTTCCCCATAGCAAGAGCGCTGAGCAGAGCTTCTAGAACACTCTGGATATCCAGTTCCCTCTTTACAAAGAAAACTAAACAAGAGATCCCCCTAAAAGGACAGAAATTCCTGGGGTTCTGCTGTGTGGAAGTTTCAAGGGGGCAGCTGGGGCTGGCCCCAGCAGAGGAGGGGCTGGGAAGAGGAGAGAGTGGCAGTGGCTTCAGGGTCCAATTACAGGACTGTTTCCATACTTAGCCACCTGACAGCCGCTTGGAATACTCACCACTCCAGCCGCCACAGCCCCACAGAGACCAAATTAACTCAAGGGCAGACAAGGGCAGGGCCCAGCAGCAAGCTCAGTGGCCCAGAGCCCCCCAACCTTACATCTCGCATCCCCCAAAGATTCTCCTCATAATGCCTGTTCTCTCACTAGGACTGCACCTCCATAGCTCCAGTCTCATGAGAGTGAACCTTAAAAAAGATTTAAGATGAAGACCCACAAATCTCATGAAGACTAAGTGCTTGTGAAAGAGACAAACCAGGGTGTTCTAGATCCCTAGGGGCAATCTTAGAGCACCTCCCCAAAGAATCCCCAAGGGGAAGCCAGCCTTAGGAGTTTTAAGAACAGGAGAGGTGGCAAAATGATTGGTGTCCCCTCTGCAGCCTATAAATAACCCCCATGCTGCAACCCAAGCCACCGCCTCTGCCATACAAAGTGCTGAGATGTCAAAGGAAAGCCATGTTGTGCAGAGCCGAGCCCCCTCCTTGATGGAAGGAGCCCCCCGTGGAGGCTCTCCTCTATTCGTCTCTGCATTCTGCCCAATTGTCTCCAACACAATCAACAGTTCTCAACTTTGTGTTCAATTCTACACCATCCTGACTCCAATTCCGGCCCTGTTCATAAAATGACTCCCAGCCTCGTCTATGGTGTCCCACTCTGTCCATGAACATGCCAAATTAAGTCACTAGCTGGAGCAGAGGCCTCTGTCCTATGTCCCACTAAGAGGGTAGCTCAGACACCCTCCATTTCCAAGACTGTTATTTTTATCCACCTCAGAAGTTCCTCTGGGCTTGACTTTGGGGGTCCTGTCACCAGCATGCTCCAGCCAGACTCCATTCTCTGAACCTGGCCTACACCTCTGAACCATCTGCTCCTGTTTCTTCTTAGAAATAACCACCACTTCTCTCTAGCACTTCATCTTGTGTCTCAGGCCCCTGTGAAAAGGGGAGCAAGAAGCGAAGTTCTGCCATCAGCCCAGCCCCCTACTCCAGCAAAATCTGGGGAACATTAAAGGCACAGTGGGAGCTGCTTGTGCAGGGGGCGTGCGTACCTGCTTGTCCTGAAAGCAGCAGCGAGGCCAAGAAGCAGCCGAGCAGGAGCAGCGCCTTCATGGTGACTGCCAAGAGAGCCCAGCTGCTCCTCGCCTCTATTTATATGGTGGGTGCAGGCGGCCACAGCAGGCAGTGGAGGGCGGGGGAGAAGGGTCACCCAGTCACTAGGGCAACTGGGCAAACATGATGGGGAAGAAGCCCAGACCCCTGAGGACTACTGCAGGTGTTGTCCTAGCCTCCCAGCACCAGAAGCAGAGCACAGTAGTGGTCTCTCCCAACACGCCCAGGATGGTTTGGTCTAGGGTAGGGGCTAGGGGGATAAAGATGGCCCCTGGGCTGAGTCCAGCAGTTAGGAACTTAAGTCTTCCTAGAATATTCACTAACTTGACCTAAAGTCTCAGACAGGTCAAGGACCTGGAAATGCTTCCTCCAAATGAAGGACTTATTAGCCAAATCAAAAGCAATCCTACTTGATAGTCACTGATCTGCGATCTAGCAAACAGGAAAACCCACGACATCTGACCTTTGAGGTCGATGACTACAAGCTTATCCTTCCAGGGCCTCTGTTCAGAGAATGCTGAGCAGAGGGAAAAAGGGGACTTAGAGAAGCGCCTGGGTGACGTGATGTCATTGGAGGTGGAGAGACAGATCCATTTCCAGTGGGCAGGGGCTCCAGAATGTTCAGTCACCTCTGCAAAGTGCTATTTAATGCAGTCTTTCTCTGGGCTCCTGGTAGCCCTGAAAGCCAGCTATAGGACGCTGAGACAACAGATGCTGGCTGGTATGGCTAGGGGGGCAGTGCTACAAGGAAGGGAGGAGGCAGCAACTGGCCATGGAGCAAATGAACTAAAAGTAAAATGGGTATCTGTTCTGTGCTAGGAACTTTACATTTCTCAAAGTTTGTTTTTACGGCACTGGAAGCTGAACGTAGGGCTTAGACCATGCCAGAATACTCTACCACAGAACCATATCCCTAGCCCTTGAGCTTTACATTTTTAATGCAGCTTTATTGATATACAGTCAACACAAAATATACCATATGTAGTTTCTTGTTTCTCTGTGTAGCCCGGGCTGTCCTGGAACTTGCTTTGTAGACCAGGCTGGCCTTAACTCAGGAATCTTCCAGGCTCTGCCGCCTGAGTGCTGGGATCAAAGGTGTGTGCCATCATGCCTAGCATACCACACCACACACAGTTTGTACCTATGTAAAGGGTACAAACTCATAAAATTTGACCTATGTCTGCAATGTCATATACACCAGCACAATTAAGATAATGAGCAGATTCTTCCCTTCACAGTCATGCAGCCTTTAATCTCCTTGCTGTCAGTACACACTAGTTTGCATTTTACAACATGGCTGTAAATGCAATCAACGTTCTTTATCTGCTTCTTTCACTTAGCACAATTTTGAGATTTACTGACATTGTATCAATAGCTCGTTCTTTTTTATCTCCCATTTTATGAACAAGCCACAATTGGTTATCCACTCACCTGCTGATGAACATGTGGGTTGTTTCTAAGATTAAACCATTAAAAGTAAAGATGTTATGAATATTTGTATGCTTACCAATGTACAGATAGACGCTGTCGTTTCTCTTGGGTAAATGCCTAGGAGTGAAGTAGTTGGGGCATGTGATCTCTGTTTAAACTTTCCCCAAGGTGACTGTACTATGTTATATGTTTCCAAAAGTGCACTTGAGTTTCAATCCTTCCCCAGCCTAACACTTGATATGGTTGGTATATGTGGTCCTAGGAATGAAACTCAAGGCCTTCCACACGCTAGGCAAGAACGCCATCACTGAGCCATGCCTTGGCCCCTTACCTTTAGTCATTCGTTAGCTGTACAGGTTTAACTCACAGCAGGATTTACTTCTTAAACAACTTTCCTGTGTTTGTGTAAGCATGCACACAGGCAGTGGTGCACACAGAGGTCGGAAGACAGTTTTCTCTTTCCACCACCTGGATCCTGGGACTTGCACTCAGGTCAACAGTGGCAAGTGCCTTTTCCCCCGCTGGGCGATCTCCCTGTAGTTTTAATTTGCATCTCCCTAATAACTAATAATATCATTTTCACTTACCTACTATGTCTTTGATATATTCTTATGAAATGCCTGTTCAAATATTTTGTCCGCTTATTATAAGATGTTTTCCCCAGTTTTGCCCTTTTGCTGGATACAAAGCCTTTCTCAGATAATATGACTTGCAAATATTCTTTCCTAGACTGTAGCTTGTCATTTCATTCACTTAAACACCTTTCAAGGAACAGAAGTTCTTGATTTTTATCAAGTGCCATTTGTCAAGTGTTCTTTTATGAATTTGATTTTTTTTTTTTAAAATAAATGATGTCTTGGGCTGGAGAGATGGCTCAGAGGTAAAGAGCACTGGCTGTTCTTCCAAAGGTCCCAAGCTCAAGTCCCAGCAAGCACAAGGTGGCTCACAACCATCTATATTGAGATGTGGTGCCCTCTTCTGGCGTGCAGGCGCACATGCAGGCAGAATGCTGTATAAATAATAAATCTTTTTTTTTAAATGATATCTTACCTAAAAACTGCCTCAAAGTCACAGCTTTTCCTTGATATTTTCTGTATCTAAGAGGACCTTAGATGTAGCTCTGTCTGTACTACAACCCTACATAGATCATGCCAGCCTTGAACTCACGGAGAGCTACCTGCTTCCGTGAATTCAGGGATGCAGGGATTTACTTATACTCTGTGTATGACTGTCCGTCCACATGCATGTAAGTGAACTGCATGGGTGCGTGGTCTCCCTGGAAGTTAGAAAAGGGTACCAACTCCCTGGCAACTGGAGCTATAGATAGTTGTGAACCACTATGTAGGTGCTGGAGACCAAGGCTAGGTCCTCTTCAAAAGCAAGTTCTCCAGCGTCCAGACACATGCACAGATGAAGAGACCAAGAGGGCAATTTAGTTTTTACATATGGGTTTTCATTTGTTCTATCACCATTTACCAGAAAAGTTAGTTTTGTTGTTGTTTTGTTTTGCTTTGTTTTTCAAGACAGGGCTTCTCCATGTAGAAATTCTGCCTCCCAAGTGCTGGGATGAAAGGCCTGTGCCACCACCACCTGCCTGCATTTGCTTTTTAAAGTTATCCCAGTTTTTAAAGTGTTCCAGTTTTAAAGTTGAGGAAAATGCTGATAATCTTTACCTGTCACCACTTTAAAATTTGCTTGTTTTTCGATTCATTTATTATTATGTATATGAATGTTTTGCTGGCATAGATTTCTGTGCACCATGTGTATGCCTTGTGTCACAGAAAGTAGAAGAGGCTTTCAGATCCCCTGAAATGGAGTTAGAGATGGTTGTGAGCCAATATGTGAATGCTGGGAACTGAACCCAGGTCCTATACAAGAATAGTCTTAACCACTAAGCCATCTCTCCAGTTCATTTGTTGTTTTTTGAGACAGTGTCTCACTACATAATCCTAGCTAACCTGGGACTCCCAGTGTAGACTAAACTGGCCTATAATCTAGACATTCACCTGCCTTTGCCTCCCTAGTGCTGAGATTAAGGGATTAAGGGTTATGCCATGGTTTGTCTGTGGAAGTCAGATGACAATTTATGGGAGGTGGTTCTCTTTACCCATCAAGTAGGTCTCAGGGATCAAAAATCAAGGTGTCAGGCATCTTTTTATTATTTATTTATTTATTTATTTATTTTTATGTATATGAGTGTTCTGTCTGCATGTACACCTGCATGCCAGAGGAGGGATGATCACATTACAGATGGTTGTGAGCCACCATGTAGTTACTGGGACTTGAACTCAGGACCTCCGAAAGAGCAGACAGAAAGTCAGAACATGGTGGTGCACATCTTTAATCCCAGCACTTGGGAAGCAGAGGCAGGCAGATCTCTGTGAGTTCAAGGCCAGCCTGGTCTACAAGGCGAGTTCCAGGACAGCCAGGGCTGTTACACAGAGAAATCCTGTCTCAAAAAACAAAAGAAGAAGGAGTAGGAGGAGAAAAGAAAAAAGCAAAGAGACAGACTTTGATGAAAAGAAATCACCTTTAATGTCAATATGCCTTGTTCAAGTCATATGGCCTAAGAAAGAATTATGACTTACAACTAGCTTTAGACTCAAAACCCTGACATCCTCTCTTGCCAGAATATTTCATCTGCAAATTGTAAGCTAACAATTCTTTAACTAATGTCGGTGCATGTGCATGTATGCCATATGTGGGTTACCAAGAGACCAGAAGGCACTGGGTCCCCCAGAGCTGGAGGGTTAGGAAGTTGTGAACCAAAACTCAGGGTGGGTGCTAGAAGGCAACTTGGGGCCTCTGGAGTACAGCACGCACCCCTAACCACTAAACCATCTCTGAAGCCTTCATGCTCTCTTTCTAAAGCATCTGCTGCCCTGCTAATCTACCACACCGTGAGGAGTCTCACAGTGATTGTGCACATGGCTGAGGAGTTGTTGCAGGACAGGAGGGAACACTTGGTCACAGGAGTGCCTTCTCTGGGCTGAGTGTCTCCCAGGTAGTGAGAAGTGGACCCATCCTTACCAGCTCATACACATTCAAGGGTCAGGAAGCCAAGTAGCTGGCTCAGTAGTATACAACCAAGACAGTGCTGTGTGAATTTGACCCCAACTGTCTTACTAATCCACCTGCAACTCCTTCTGTCAGAGTGGACATCATCAGAGAAGGAAGATTACAACGTCTTGGAAATACAAGAAAGACCCAAGTGTCCACACAGGTCCCGAGAACTGAAACCTAAGTGAGAAGAGCAAGTTACAGTTAGCACAGCACTTCTGAGATGCGCAAGTTTAGTGTGTGTGTGACAGACACCTGCACATCATATTCACAGCAGCACAGTGCACAACAGCCAAAGGCTGGAAACAATCCACGAGTTTCTCGGCAAATAAACAGAGAAGCAAAATGCAGGTCTTCCACACCATGAAATGTTACTTAGCCACAGAAAGAAATGGGGCTATAACACAAGCTTCGACATCTGTCAACCTTGAAGTAAATGTTACACTGAGTAAAAGAAGGATAATGTATTGTTTTGCTAGGGCTACTATAAAAGATCACAGATCGCAGAAATTTATTGTCTCATAATTCTGGCTGGCAAGCTTCGCCTGAGCTATCAGCAGGATTGGTTTCTTCTGAGACTTTCATCCTTGGCTTGCAAGCTGCACCTTCCCCTGTGTCCTCACATGGTCTTCCCTGTGTGTGTCTGTGTCTAATCTCTTCTTATGAGGATGCCAGTTAGATTGGATTAAGGCCCACTCCGATGACCTCATTTTACCTTAACTACTTCTTTATCAGCCCTATCTTCAAATATAGTCACATGCTAAGGTGCTAGGGGTTGAGACTCAACATGTGATATGAGGGTGTGAGGCAAAGGGCAACCCCTAGCAGACTCTGTATGATTCCATTTATATGAGGGTACCTTCAATAATCATGTAGACTAGAACTAAGCAGTGACACAGAAGGCGATGTAGTCAAGACGACAGTGTAGCTCAGTGTTAAGCACTTGTCCAGCATTTGTGAAGCCAAGAATTCAATCATTAATGAAAACTATGCACTCGTGCACCGTGAACACACTGGCTCAGAAGTGTGTATTATTTAATATGAGTGAGCCAGATGTGATGGCACATAGCTGTAATCCTCTCACAGGGGGTTACCAGGCAGGAGGAAAAGGAGAGCAAGGTCATCCTTAGCTACATACTGAGGTTAGGCCAGCCTGAGCTCAAAGAGCACGGTTCAAATCAAGCAAGGCAGATAAGATGGACCAGTGGGTAGAAGTACTTGCTGCCAAGCCTGATGAACTGAGGAGCCCCAAAACCCACTTGGTAGTTAAGAGAGAACTAGGTGCTCTAAGTTGTTCTCTGACTGCCACATACCCCAATACACAAACAAAGTAGAAATTTTTGTAAAAACAATAAAAAATAATCTTTAAAAAATCAAAACAGTAAATGGATATTATATATTCTTATACAAGTTTTGTTTTGTTGGGTTTTGTTTGTTTGTTTTTTGAGACAGGGTTTCTGTATAGCCTTGGCTGTCCTGGACTCACTTTGTAGACCAGGCTGGCCTCATAGAGATCCACCTGCCTCTGCCGCCCAGGGTGCTGGGATTACAGGCATGTGCCACCATGCCTGGCTGCTTCCACAACTTTTTAAAGAGGAAAAGGGGTACTCTGTGTGGAAAACAAGAGATTAAAAGGGCAGACTCAACAGAAAATAAACTCTAAAATCACATATTCTCAAATAGACCTTATGTAGCTGTAAGAAATCTGCCTGATACCATGTCACATCATCTACCACTGCCACCACGAAACTCAGAACCTCAAGGCCTCTGCTCAGCCTTGAGGAATCCTGGGACATGGTAGTTTCAGCCCCATTTTTACAAGCTGCCAGTCCTCATGTACACCTGCTCCTGACAGTCTTGGGCTGACATTCCAGAGATGAAAAGGGAAGAAGTGTGTTTAAGAACATGAGAGTCAGTGAGATGCCGCCTCGCCTGACAACTTAAGAACCACAGGTGGAGGGAGAGAATCAACTCCTGCAACCTTTCCTCTGACCTCCACATGAGCCACAAAGCATTCACACGCCCACACATAGATACACATCGACACAAGATAAAAAATGTGAAAAGCAACAAGAACAAGGGTTTGAGCCACTCAAGTCCCACTTCCAGAACCCTGGAACAAGGATCGGCAGCCTCTCCCATAAAGGGCCAGAGTTTCCCTCTGGCTTAAGTTTCACAAGAGTAACCATAGATAACAAAACCAAACGGATGTGCACTCAAAAGAACTTCTCTGTGAGAACAATCTGTGAGCTAGTTTGGGCTGTGCTTTGTTGAAATCATTTATAAAGGAAGTACTTTATGGCTTCCATGTCGAACATCCCCCTATTTTTTTATTAGGATCATGTATGGAGTCTAGGAATCCTACACAAACTTCAATGAGTGATGAGGAATTCATCCAGTAAGTGATGGCCTTGAACAAAGGCTGTTTCAACAACAGGTCAAGCCATAGCAGCATGGGCTTCTGGGAAGCTGAGGACTAGGGGAAAAAGAACCACTTCCAACATACTATCTCAGTTGCTTGAACAAGGGCCTCCCTGTCCTCTATCCCCTTTTTTTCCCTCTTCACTTTCATACAGCCGCTCCTCCTAAAGTGGTCCCAGCACAGAACTGCCACTTGTCTAGTGGTGAAAACACCTGGAACAGGGATTGGAGATGCACACGGGATAGTAGGGAGGGTGGGTGGCCCCTCAGGACCTGTCTCTTTGGTTGTTAGCAACCTTAAGAGAATTGCTGTAAGACATTTGAGATCTCACGTAGCCCAGGCTGGCCTCAAACTCATACACACTTGAAGCTAGCCTTAAACCGGAGTCTACTGCCTGTACCTCCCAAGTGCTGGTGTAATGAACATGTGCCACATCAAGCTTCCTTGCTATTTTTTGGCAACTGAAGCAGCCTCGGCATGTTGCCTCGGCTGATCTTTCAATTATTATTCCCTCGCTTAGCTCCCAAGTGCTGAGATTACACATGAACACACTGGCTTTAACTTTAACCCATACACTCACTAAAATCATAGGTCATGACCAGGCAGTGGGTAGTGCAAGCTTTTAATCCCGGCACCTGAAAGGCAGAGGCACGAGGAGCTCTGAGTTCAAGGCTAGTCTTGTCTACAAAACAAGTTCCAGGACAGCCAGGGCTACACAGAGAAATCCTGTCTCAAAAAACAAAACAAACAAAAAAGAACACAGGTCATGCTGGGTAGTGGTGACACAAGCACTCACAAGGCTGAGGCAGGAGGATCTCTGAGGCCAGCCTGATCAAAAAGAGAGAGAAAGAGAGAGAGAGAGAGAGAGAGAGAGAGAGAAACAAGAAAAAAGAACAGGGGTCACGAATGCAGCAACCTGAATTAACACCTAGTGTGAAGAGCACTGAATGGCAGAAGCAGGGTAAGGGGACAATGTGAAGGGCCACAGAGCCCAGCAAGCTGAGTGCTAGAACATTATGGTCCTGGCACACAGCGTCTGTAGGTTGGTCTATCTTGGGTAGCTGATTTGGTAGATTGTCAGGCTCAAACATTCCTCAAGGATCCAGGAAATTGTCAGACCTTAACTTAGGCAGCATTTGAGTTTGCATCTGTTGCACATTCCATGGGGGCAAGGTGGGGGGGGTTGAGACAGGGTCTCAAGTATCCCAGGCTAGTCTCAAGCTATGCTGTCGTGGATGACACTTTAACCCCTGGTCCTCCTGTCTCCAACGGAGATTAAAAGTGTGAGCCACCATGCCCAGCCTTGGCATCTTTGAGTATTTTATTTATTATTATAGAGGTGTACGAGATGCCATGGCACGAGGGTAAAAGACAGTGAACTATGCTGAGTTAGTTCTCTCCTTTCACTGTGAGTCCTGAGGATTGGACTTAGGTCACCACACTTAATGTAACACTTTTACCCACTAAGCTATCTCATTCAAATTTGGGTATTTTTTTAAGTGTCTCTCACTGGCTGGGAATGGTGGAGTACACCTATAATCCTCGTACTCATGAGGCAAAGGCAGGTGGATCTCTGTAAGTTCAAGACCAGCCTGAAAGTAAGCTCCAGAATAGGCAGGAAGACAGAGACAAAGTCACAGAGGCAAGGGTGGGGTAGGGAGCCTTATACTGTATCACAGACCAGCCTAAAACTTACTGTGTAGTCCAAGTTGCCTCAAACTCCTAACAATACTCCTGCCTCCATCTTCTGTGTACTGAGATTACAAGTGTGAGCTACAACATCTGACTAATAGCACATATTAAAAGGGTTATCCTGTTTGTCTTAGTAACCTTAGGTCATCAGTCTTAGAAGAATCCAAATTCTCACCCAATATGGGAACTCCTTCCACACAATCTGACACATTCATCCAGTTTATTTGAATACACACTGTGATAAGATGTCTAATCTTAGAGAAAAATGGCTCCACTGTTGAATACAGTACAGACTTATGATCAGCAATGCTGCAACTCTCTTTCCCACCTGCTGCCTCAGTATCTTACAGAAAAAGCACAGAGCCATTCCCTGGATGGCAAGGAATCCACCCCACATGTCCAGCCTTGGTGGCATTTTCTTTTCTTGCAGAGAGTAGTTTGTCAACTCTCTGTGCATCCACAATTTCCAGAGTATTATCTTCCCACAGGGCAGAGGCTAATGGGAGAAATATGTTGAGGACAACCTCTGTTCTTTGAAGAAGAGCACACGCAATCTTCATCTTGAGAATGTGCACCGAGATAGGCTGCACCCTGGAGTTAGCCTTGATCTGGGCCACCTAATTCAGGAAACGCTGCAGCTGTTAGTCCTGGTTCCTTTTTCAATACCAGGGGTGTGATGGAAGGAGAGCCCATTTGAGCAGTTCATTCCTTTGCACAGTTGTCAAATGTAATGCCAGTTTTGCCTGAGTCCCACCCTCTTCTCTCAGTCAGCACATGTTCTTGTCCATCAACAGAAAAAACCTGCAATTCAGCAGGGCAACAAACAGAAGGAATAAGGCAGAGTGGGATCCACCCTACCTCCCCCCCCCAGGATTAAAGGACAGGACAGGCAAGCAGAACTCCACGTGAAAAAGACAAATGCCACACATTCAACAGCAAGGATGAAAGCAGAGACAGATGGGTCAGGGGGGACAGTAGGATGAGCTCTGGTGGGGACAGGGTGGAGCCAGGACCAACATCTGACGCTAAGGGCAGCATGGCCAGATGGCTGACTCCAAGAGGCTGCTTGAAGATTTCCATGGGCTCTACAGACTGGCCTGGGGCCAGTTAGTCACTGCTAAAGAGACCAAGGTCATAGGAAGAACCCCCTCTACCACTAGATGATTCTTCAAACATGTTATGGAGCTGACACATTACTCCATTATTCTGCCCAAACCACAGCACAAGGGGCACATATTTATAATGTGTCAAACTTTACCAGAAAATATACATAAAAACAGCTGCCGATAATTCATAAAATATAGCAAGAATTACCAAGCAGCAGAAGAGAAGCAGGAAAAACACACACACACAAAATGGAAGTCCAGGAGGCAAAAAAAAAGACTGTGTATTTAAGACCTAACATGTGCATAACTTAACCACAGGCCCAATTCAGTGTCCTTAAAATAAGAACAAACCACATGCTTAGGAGAAATAAAATTATTCCTGCTACTGAGACTCAACAAGAATTTCCTTGAGAATAATCATAAAGGCAGCAAGGCATAATGTAATGGTCCTTGACAACATTCTTAGAGCAGAAAGAAAACACTCCCACAAAGCTTATTCCTAAAAAAAGACTCAAAATAAGGCCAATGAGAAAACCAAGAACAACCAGCCCTGATCTCAAAGAAACCACCAAAGAGATCATCAACCACACAGGACAAATATGAGCTGTCACTTACTTGTGGCTAAGCTGGAAAATCGACACAATCCATTGAAGGGGCAGGGTTTATAAAAATGAAGCTACAATAGCTATCAATTAGAAACAATCTAAGATGTCTGTCTCTAGGTAAATGGATAAATAAATTATGGAGTATCCATACAAAGAATTAGTGCAATAAAAATAAACAAACAGCCAGTCATGGTGGCATGCACCTTTAATCCCAGCACTCAGGGAGGCAGAGGCAGGTGAGTTCAAGGCCAGCCTTATCTACGGGTAAGGCTACACAGAGAAACCCTGCCTGGAAAAAACAAGAAAACAAACAAACAAACGAAAAAACTGGTGCTGACAGGCAGGTAGGGGGCCAATCAGATGCTTGTTGTTTGGTGGGACCTTTGAGGCCACACCTGTCCTCAGTCAAAACAGGCTAAGAAACAGCAGGATGGGCCACAGCCGGCCTGTGGTTATAGCTGCAACCATGCCCACTGTAGAGGCGTCTGGAGGGAAGTCTAAGAAGGTGAACCTGTCAGAGCTATGTAAGAACAAGAAGTGTGTGCTGTTTGGAGTTGCGGGGACATTTACCCCTCACTGTTCTAAGGCCTACTTTTCTTGGTTTGTGAAGCAAGCCTAGGCTCTGAGGGCCAACTTTTAATGTAGGTAGTGGCATATCTGAGTATTAAATATGTCTTTGTGACTAAAAAGTGTCATCAAACCTTCAAAACAGAATGCAAAACCCCTGCCTGATACCACTAGGGCCTTTGGGGAGACAGATTTATTGCTAAAGGATTCTTTGGTTTCACTTTTTGGGAATCACTGGCTCAAGAGGTTTTCTGTAGTGACAGAGTATAGCAAAAAGCTGGATGACACATAGGCCAAACCTGTAGTCTGGCCCAAACATCTTCTTGGAACTCAGAGGCCATGGTCAGATGAAAATCCTTCCTGCTTCCTTTGCTCATCCCTGCAACAAGAAACCCAGGAAAGCTACTTACATGGAATCTTGACCATATTTCTGCAATAAACTGTCTGGTTCATGGAAAAGAAATTAACAAAGTACTGATACATATGCAGAAGGTTAAGAGAACACATGTGTTCTCTTACAACACGTAGGTAGACAGAGGAGGATCGGGAATCACAGGTTATCCTTAGTAACACAGAAAATCCAAGGCCGGCCTAAAATACCTGACCCTGACTCAAAAAAATTAAATAAGCAGGGTAGCGGTGTCACAGGCCATTATTCCTAGCACCTGGGAGGCAGAGGCAGGTGGATCTCTGAGTTCAAGCCCAGCCTGACCTAAAGAGAAGTTCCAAAACAGCCAAGGGCTGTCTCGAAATACCAAAAATTAAAAATACAAAATAGGGCACTGCAGAAATGACTGAGCAGGTAAAATGGCTCTGTTCTTCCAGAGGACCAGAGTTTGGTTCCCATGTTAGGTGGCACACAGCAGCCTATAACTGCAACTCACGGGGACCTGACTCCCTTTTCTGTCCTCTTCAGGTACTACACATATGTACACACACACACACACACACAGATTTTTAAATTTTTTAATTAAATAAACTAGGGCTAGTAAGACATCTCAGTGGGTAAAAAGTGCCTGCTGGCAAGCCTGATGACCATCTGTAGAAGGACAGAACTGACTCCAAGAAAGTTGTCCTCTGACCTGCACAATCAATAAATGTAAATTTTTGTAAAAAAATTCAGTCAGCTTAGTTTTATTGACTGGATTTAATTAAAATAAAGTAACATCAGCCAAGCAGTGGTGGCACACATCTTTATCCCAGCACTCAGGAGGCGGGGGCAGGCAGATCTGAGTTTGAGGCACCTGTTCTACAGAGTGAGTTCCAGGACAGCCAGGGCTACACAGAGAGACCTTTGTCTCAAAAAAAAAAAAAAAAAAAAGTAAATAACTAAATTAACATCTTATTTCATTTTATTTCTTGGCACAGGGTCTCATGCTGGCCTGAAACTTAAACTTACGATGTGGTAAGAATAACCTTTTAACTCTGACTCCACTAAATATTGAGACTATAGGTGTGCTCACACGTAATAAACAAACACCAAAGGTAAAACAGGAACTGGAGAGATGGTTCAGGAGTTAGGAGCAGAGGACTAGGGTTCAGTTCTCAGCACCCGAAGAAGGTTCTCCGCCCTGACCTTCCGTTCCAAGGGATCCGACTCGCTCGTCTCTACTTACTCGTCATACTGACACGTACGCAAAGCCATGCGCATAAAATAAACCTTTAAAGGTATCTATAACAAAACCTAAAGGTAAAGGTAAGAACGGATGATAGCTGACTGGGTAGGGCTCGCCCAGCACTCCAGCTCGGGACAAAGCCCCCGGCGCCGAGACCTCCACTACACACCGGTGACGGGCTTCCAGACGAACTAAGCGTAGTATGAGAACGAGCGTCACCTATTCCTCGGCCGTTTTACAGCACCTTCGGGGACATGTCAAAGTCACCCGTGACGGGAAGCCCAGGTCTGACAGACCAGAACCGGGTGTCTGCTCGCTCGGCGGCCCGCGAGCGGGGCCAGAGGAGCCCGTGGCGGGAACGCCCGGACGCGCCAAGCGTGCGCGCTGGAGGGCGCGGCTAAACCCGGAAGGGGCAGGAACGCGCCAAGGCCTCCACCGCCAGGCGCCCGCGCTTCGCCTGAGACGGAGCGTTTTCCTTGGCTCCGCCCCCAAGCTCCGCCTCTAGCCTATGAGAGTCGAGCGGGGACCGGAAAGAGGCAGGCTCGGTTCCGCCAGGAACAGGCATCCTAGGCCCAGAGCGCCCTCTGTTGGTGCCACCGGAAGTTGCCTGGAGCTAGTCCTGCCGACCCCCTCTTATACCTGAATCAGACGGGGATGCTACCTGAAGACACCAGGCTCAAAGGGCTGCGTACTGTAAGACTCATTAAGTAACATTTTGCAAAAAGAAAACAGAAATATACCAGAGAAACAACAGAGACTGGGGGAACACCGAGGAGGTACTAATTCTTATTCTGATGACGGCTACACAATAAAACCAAAAAAAAACCTTCACACAATCAAATGTGAGTTTCAGTGAATACAACCATATTGTTCTGAGCATGGGGGTTGGGAATTGGCTTGTTTCGTGTTTTGTTTTTTTCTTTTGTGTCAGGGCTCACTGTGTAGCCCTGCCCAGCCTTGAAATCACTATATAGAGACTCTGCGGGCCTCAAACCCAGTGATCCATCGACCTGCCTCCTGAGTGCTGGGTTTATTTTGTTTTCAAGTACGCCATAGGTGAGTTATGTGGCCGTCAGGGGTCAGTTCTCTCCTTTCGCAGTGTGAGCCCTGGGATCAAACCTGGGTAGGCTTGGAGCAGGTACCGTCACCTACTGATTCATTTTGCCAGCCCCCACTATTTCGTTTTGAGATTGGTGGCTACCTGAGATGAGGAGGATAAGTAAAGGGACTAATTTTATGCCTTGTAAATTTCTTTTTAAAGATTTATTACTGTACACCAGAACATCAGATCTCATTATAGATGGTTGTGAGACATCATGTGGTGGCTGGGAGTTGAACTCAAGTCAGCATCTTTGGAAGAATAGCCAGTGCTCTTAACCTCTGAGCCATCTCTCTAGCCCCGCCTTGTAAATTTCTAAGGTTTTTGGTTTTTTTGAGACAGGATTTCTCTGTGTGGCCTGGGCTATCCTAGACTCGATTTGTAGACCAGGCTGACCTTGAACTCATAGTGGTCCACCTGTCTCTGCTGGGATTAAAGGTGTGTGACACTCTCAAAGGAAGTGACTGTAAGGTTGAGCTGCGCACCAGCAGTCCTCGGCCAGGGCATAAGCACTGACATGGCATATCCTGGAGATGTGTACAAATGAAAACACTGGCCTAGAACGGTATGAGCTTCATCCTCCAAACTTTGCCTGAGTAAATCCATCTTGCAGCCGTGCCAGACCACAGTTAAAACAAAACAAAAACACAAAAAAAAGCCATCCTTCCCATGATCGTGCTTGCTGAGGTCAGCATACCCTCCCAGCCTTCTTCATTCAAGGGCTGAGTTAGCGCTGCCACTGTCCCGGAGTCTGGTTTCCTCGGAACCTGTAGTCACTGCTGCTACTGAACCATTCATTGGGCACTGCTCTACGCCCAGGTCTGAATTAATTCTGCTAGGTGTGGGCTTAGAGCAGGTTAGAAGGGTCCTTGCATGGAGCGAGGACCTTCAGGAAAGCACAGCCATCCCAACTGTCCACTGCTCTGGATGTGACCCCCAATAAACTCGGTTACCTGTAACACGCTGAACGGCTCGAGTTGTTCTTTGGGTTGTTGGTACCATCCAACAGTTTGGGCACATATGCAATGATTTCTCTCACAAACCTCTAGGGACATTTGTAAACTGGGCGGAAGAGAGGCACACACAGGAAGCAGTAAGGCGCATAAATCCACCAGGACCTGTGGCATCACTGTTCTTTTTTTAGGGGTCAGAAACTTCCTCTTATTTGTTCCTTCCCTCCCGTGGAGGTTCAAACAAGCTGGGAGCCACTCCCTCCACCCCCAGCACACACCCCATTGTTGAAGAACATTCCAAGAAAGCCCATGGGCTTCGAGGACCCCAAGCTCTCCATTGCAACTTCACACACAATTCACGAGTGCCATTATGTTCTCCAGGTTTGGAAGTCCAACGAATACCCGTTAGTCTAGGCCAAGCAGCCCAGGCCAGGTTCCCAGAACAGTTCAATCCTTAAGAAACACACAGCATCTAAAAAACAAAGTACAAATTTTATTTCGTTTCTTTACAAAGGCACAATGGCCTCTTGGTATTTTGTTCCCTACCCCCACTTTCTTAACAAAATATAATAGCTTCTCCTTGGACACAAAGACCTCAAAATTGTAAAAAAAAAAAAAAAAAAAAAAAAAGAAAAAGAAAGAAAAGAAAAAGAAAAAATTTAAAAATACAGAAACCAAAACCAAAATAAAACCAACAACAAACAAAACAAAAAGAGACAGACATTTTTAGGGTCAGTGATGGGAACCCTGGAGGGAAAGGTGGGAAGGTGGAGAGCGGCCAAATCCGGTGCTGAGGTGGGGAGGGGAGGGGAGAATGGCAGCAGCAAACCCCAACCGAGAAGCATCGTAGATCCCCGGGTCCCCAGAAAGCCCCAACCCAGCCTGACCCCCAACCCATGTAAGTGCTTAAAAGATAAAAAAAGAAAACCAAATAGAGGCGGGAAGGGGAGCTGGCTCTGAGGAGCGAGGAAATACCTTGGGGTTTTGTTTGATTTTCCCTGTTCTTAAAAACACGTTTAAATGGAAGAAAAACAAACAAACAAAAACAAAACAACAACAAAAGCTTTTTGGCGGAGAGAGGCCAGGCACCTCAGTGTCAGCTTCCCCAGCCCCAGGGCCGAGGCCCAGCCCTGGAGTCCCGATGCTCCCACACGTGCTCTAGAGACCACCACAACCCCGGGACCTGGGCTCCGGTGGCTTCGATCAAAGGTCGACTTACAGTATTGAAAAAGAGGTCATAAAAGTGACCCAAATGTTATCATAATTTTGTAAAAATTTCTCACTCATTCACCCATGTTTCCCCTGTTGTTGCCCCGGCCCCCTCTAGCCCCTAGAAGGGAGAGGAGGGCTGGGGTGGTCAGGGAAGCTCTCCGTCCCCTAAAGGCTCCTCCCGGCTCTGGTCCATGGCGTCGCTGTCCGAGGCCTCCGAGTCGGAGGCAGTATCGGAGGTGTGTGCCTCTGGGCAGCCGCGGACGGACTTCACGATAACCGCTCGCCTCTGTTCCTCCTCCAGCTCCTGTTTGTCCTGGGTGCCCTCAATGTGCTGGATGGCCTGGACAGAAAGGGACAGTCCACTGAGCAGACTCAGCTGGGGAGCCCGGGCCAGCTGGGCAAGAGTAAGTGCCCTCAGCCAGCTGTTAATCTGCTCAAAAAACACACACCCCAGAACAAAGCAGAGACAGGGGTGGGCATGGAAAGGGAAGACCCTTCCAGGAGACCAGAGCCCTAGATGTTACAAATGACAACAGGACTCATATCCTTATGGCTTCACTAACTTAGTAACCTTCTGTGCTATTCACTGTTTTATTCAGTTTGCTGGGTATATAGGCAATGAAAGTTTTAGGAGTCACTAGTTTTCTTTCTTGTTTCTGCTTTTTCATTTGCTTTACTGTTATCAACTAATTGATTCTTTTTTAATGTTGCTCACAGCACGGATAGGAGGCCTAATACGACATATTCATATAATAAAGATGAAAGGGGTTGGGGAGACATTTCAGTCTTGCCTTTCTAGCAGAAGGGCTTGGGTTCAGTAACCCAGCACCCCTCGGTGCTGTGAACCTGCAGCCTGAGATGAAGGCTGGGAGCTGAGTCAGGAAGATCCCTGGGGCTCCGCCAGCCTATCCCAACTGGCACGCAGCAGGGTGCAGTGACAGGACCCTACCTCCCACTTTCTTAACAAAATACAGTAGCTTTTTCTTCAACACAAAGATCAAAGATCATAAAATAAGTAAACAGAGAAACCAAAACCTAAGTAAAACCAAACTGAGAACAAAGCAGCTTCTCAGGGCCAGCAAGATGGGTAAAGGCACTTGAAGCCACACCTTACACACCTGGGTTTATGAGCCTTTGACCCTGAGTCTGCTGAGGTGCACAAAAACTGCTCCTCCCCGCTGTCCTCTGGCACACACACATATACACAATAAATGTCATTTTAAAAAAAGGAGTCTTTTAGGCCAGGCATGGTGATGCACACCTTTAATCCCAGAGTTTGGGAGGCAGAGGCAGGTGAGATCTGAGTTCAAAGCCAGCCTGGTCTACAGAGAGTCCTGAACAGCCAGGGGCTCTTTGTCCCAGACACAGGGAAGGGGACCTATCCAAGCATGCAAATCTTTTCTCCTCCTACATAAGCTCCATATTGCTTTTTCCCCCCCCATTTCGTATTCCCTAGTGCCCCATTAAAAGCATGTCCCCCAGGGTCAATCCCACAAGCCACCTCCCAAATACCTGCACGATGGTGTCCAGATTTTGCCGGGATGTAGAGACAGAATTGATGACTGAGGAGGGACCCATGGTGACAACATTGATGTGGTGGGAGGAAGGTGGGGCTGGCGCAGGCACAATCACTGTGGGGTGGTGGGTGGGGGCTGGAGGAGGCAGGAGCTGCAAGACAGAAGTCCTCAGTGTCTCCGAAGGTTCAAGCCCACCAACCTTCCATACTCACGGGGTCTCTGCTCCTAGTTTGGATTTTAAATGTCCCCCCAAAGTCCATGTGATAAAGGCGTGGCCTCCAGTATGGCAGTATTGGTAGCAACCTTAAGAAGTTGAACCAAGCTGGGCACGGTGGCACACGCTTGTAATCCCAGCACTCTTGGAGGCAGAGGCAGGCAGATCTCTGAGTTCCAGGACAGCCAGGGCTACACAGAAAAACCCTATCTCAAAAATGAAAACCAATAATAAGAGCCCAGTTTCTTTCTCTTTTTGTCTCTTTAGTTTTTAAGACATGAGGTGAGTGGCTTTGTTCCTGCCATGACACATAACCTCACCACACATCCAACCGATCACAGTCTGAAGTCTTCAAAAATTGAGCCAAAATAGCCCTTTTCTCTTTATAAATTGACTATTTCAGGTGCTTATTACACTGATATGAAGCTGACCAGTAAAGCAGGCCAGCAGGATTCACAACTCCAAGTGTCAAGTGTCAAGAAGCATTTCTGAACTTAATAAATGACTGTTCAAGAGTACATGCTGAGCTGGGTGCGGTGGCACACAAATTTAACCCCAGCACTCGGGAGGCAGAAGCAGGCAGATCTCTGTGAGTTCAAGAGTAGCCTGGCTTAAAGAGTGAGATCCTGACTCAAAACAAAACAAAACAAACAACAAGTATAGAGTCTGGGGCTGGGATATAGCTCGGTGGTAGAACGCTTGCCTGACACACACAAGGCCCCGGGCTCAATCAGCACCACTGAAAAAAAAACCAAAAAACAAAACAGAGGAGGAGGAGCGTAGTTCCTGGATTAAGACAGAGACGGTTCAAATTCCTGCTCTAGGGTAGGTTATCTGACCTTTCTATACTTCATTTTCCACAGCAATAAAACAGCATAAGAGCTCAAGCTTTAAAGGACTATCGTGCGGGCTCTATTCTACGTTCCGATGCTCTCCAGACACCTCGGACTCAGCACGCCTGCACTGCTGTCTGCACCTGTCCGAGACCCCACTATGGCTTCTGAAATCCCCACAGCAGCCAGTGGGGGGCCCTCCTGGAGTTTGCTGCTCACCTGGGTCCGAAGGTGCTGCTGCTCCCGCTCCAGCTTCTCCTGGTGCAGCAGCCGCACCTGCTCCTGCTGCTGCTGCAGCTGCACCTGCTGTGCAATCACCTTGAGTTTTTCCGGGTACATGTGGGCCTCCAGGGAGCGCACCTGCAGGTGGAACGGACAGCACTAAGAGGTGGGGCAAGACCTCACCTGCTCTACCAGCTGCCAAGGCCGTTTACTTGCTAAAACCTCAATCCTGGGCACAGGGCAATCCTAAACCTAACACACTGGCAGAGAGCGCCCCCTTTGGGGCAGACCAAAGGCTCACCCCACACCTCTAAACTTTGTCTCTACTGTTCCCACCACAAAGAAATCCCTTTTCCCTTATCTGATCAGCTGGTTCCTTTATACAAATCACATGGCACACCTTGGGGCACCGGGTCAAACCCTTCTGGTGCCAAGCTCCTATGTAGTTTTGTTTCACCGGCATTTTTGTGGGTGTGCGTGATGGGAGTTGCGCCCAGAACTTTCAGGCTAATCACCCCAGCCTCCATGTATGTTCACACCTTTAATAGAGAATTGTTGGCAGACCTTGGTGGCGCACACCTTTAGTCCCAGCACTCAGGAGGCAGGGGCAGGCGGATCTCTGAGTTTAAGACCAGCCTGGTCTACGTAGTGAGTTCCAGGACAGGCAGGGATAAGCAAAGATATCCTGTCTTGGAGTGTGGGGAATGAAGAGACAGAGAGACAGGGAGAGACTGTTGACCATCCTTCTCAATCCTATGCAAATATAGCCACTAGGCCTGGTATGGAGAGGTTCTCTTTGTATATGTATGTGTGTGTGAGTGTGTGTGTGTGTGTGTGTGTTTTGCCTGGATGAATCAATACCGTGTGCACGTCTAGCGCCTGAAGAAGTCAGGGGTGGAAGATGGCATCAGATTTCCTGACATGGGGCTGTGTGCCTCGATGTGGGTGTGGGAATTTAACTGAACTCGGGTCCTCTGCAAAAGCAACAAGAGTTCTTAACTGCTAAGCCATCTCTCCAGCCCCTAGAGAAGACATTCTCGTGAATACTCTCTGAAGAGGGGAAGCAAGCAGAAGACCACAGAATCCATCCTCTCCGCCTGGGCCAGCAGAGGGCGCCGTCTCACCTGCTCCTCCAGCATCATCCGCACAGAACGCTCCTTGTCCAGCTGCTGGCGCAGCTCAATCATCTCTCTCCTAAGGTCCTCAGCCTTCTCGTCTTCCCAGATGTCAGGTGAGCCAATGCCCTCGTCCTTGTCTTCTGCCCGCCGCCGCTTAGGGGATGAGCCACTCAGCTCCTGGGGACCCCAAGAGGTAGCTGAGTTAGCTGACACCCCCATAACACAACCAGAGGTCACAGGGCTCCATTGCAGGCCCTCCAAAGGTACCCAACACAGGTGGACTCATACTGGGGGATCCATTCTGCAAATCCACCTAGGGGCCAAACGCTGGGCGCGGAAGAATGGACTGACTTTCTAGAACAGTCACCTGCTTCCCCCCGAGCCCGTTCCACTGTACTCCACGGAAGAAACAGGCCCAGGCAGGAAGTAGGCAGGCTCTGTGGGCAAGGTGACTGATAGCCATGCATGCTAATGGTTTTGGGTAAGGCCCACACAGAAGACTGCTGGGACGATTCCCCATCCGGTACCTGGATGAAGCGCTTAAGCTGCGTATTCTGCTGCAGCAGTCTAGTCTTCTCCTGCTCAAGAGAGAAGATGTACTCTGCTGTCTGCTGGAGGATGGCTGCCTGAGGGCAGGAGGGAAAGAATGAGGCTTCCGGTCCTCTCCCTCTCCCCGTGAGAGCCTGACCCCGCCTCCGGAAGCCGTCCCTGCCCCTGCCCACCTTGCTGAGCTTCTCTCCATCTGTGTGGGGAATGAGGGTCTTGAGGGACTGGAAGCCCGCGTTGATGCTCTGCATGCGCCTGCGCTCGTTGCTGTTGGCAATCTCCCGCCGAATCCGCCTCTCCTGGTCACGCTGCGTCTCCGGGGTCAGCGGGATGTTGGCAAGGCTGCCAGGGAGAACAGGACTAGATTCAGGGCAGATGTCCTCTAAACTTAACCCCCAGAAGGGCCCTGTCCTCACAGTTCATTGCCAGAGGGCCCTGGATGTAACCTGCGTCCCTTCCCTGATAGACCCAGGACTGAAGCAGGGGCCTGAGGACGCGCGTCTGCTTGGAACCCACCCAGTCCCTGCCTCCCTTCCTACAGTCCTCTCCTCTTAAAGAGATTCTTAGTGTCTGGATATCAAAACACACACACAGGGGCTCAGAGCTGTGCAGGCCTCACCTCCCATTCTAACATCTGCCTAGCCAGGCTGGAAAGGCCCAGAAACCTGCATGACTAATCTCTATGGTTCTAACGAAAGAGAACCCAACAGCAACCAGAGACAGCTCCTGGGACGCTTCAAAGTTCCTCGCTGTGTATCTGGATCACCTCCTTAGTAGCTCTTACTTTGTCACTACAGTTCTGAGAAGATAACCCTCCTCCCTGCCCACTGCCACAGTTGTCTCCAGCCAGAAGCCTACAGCCACCACCGCAGCCAGCCACTATGAGCTAGGAGTGTACAAAGGACCAGACAGGCGGCATTCACCCCACATACGGGACACTTGGGTCAACCACCCCTCGGGACAGTCCTGCTTTATCCCGACCTATTCCACAGCAGATTCACTCTGTATAAAGAAGCTAGGCTCCCCCTGCCCCAGAATGCTGTGGGCAATGCTACTGCACGCTGCAGAGGGAGCAGCTAGCCAGCAGAGTGAGGGAGCAGGCAACCAGCAGTGATGGGCCCAATGCCACTGCTCCCAAGGGGGTGGGCCTGTGTGTGGCCCGGAGGAGGGATGCCCCCCTTCTCAGCCCTCCCCTGCAACTCCCCCTCCCGCCCCTGGCCTGATGGCTTCCAGATGCTGCGCTCTCAGCAGAGGCCTTCAACCCCACCCAAAGCCACAGCCCTGGCCTCTTCCTGAGGGGCCCTCCCAGGGTGACCTGTTCCAGGCTAGAGCCAAGGGGGCACATACCCCAAGGTGTGGGAAAATAAAAACGGCCTCTGACACCTTTCACCTCATTGATGTGGGAGTCTAAGGTCGAGGAGGTGCCAGGTCTCTCGCTGTGAGTTGGCCCCTGCCTCTATCCCCAGGGAAAATGGGCTCCACAGCAGCCCACGGGGGAAACACATCTGCCACAGCTGGAAACAGCTGAAGCCTGTCCAGCCCCACCCAGCCCACCCCATCTGTCCTGCCTCAGCTCCCTAAAGGACCCTAGTAGCATCCCTGCCCCTTCCAGGGCCTCAGCTTCCTCTCCCAGCAGAAAGGATAGACAGCTGGGAATGAGTTCCCTGTTGGCCACTGCAGGGAGCTTGGAGGCAAAGCGGCCCTTTCCCACTTCATGAATGAAGCCAGGTCCCTTCATTCAGGGCCTGAAAGCCCAGGACCCCAGAGCCCCTGTCCCAGGGTATCCCAGGATACATGTCTCTCATAGGATGTGGAAATGTGAGCAATGGGAAAGGCTTCAGGCCAGAGTGCCTTTCTTCTCCCCTCCCAAAAACGGGGAGCAATGGGGCATCTGGAAGGAGACGAGGATTCCAAGCAGGACAAAGCCACAGATGGTCCTTGGAGTCTGGCCCTGAGCACACCTCCTCCGGGGCCAGTCAGCTGGATGGTAGGCAGTAACTAGTTTACTGCTGCAGATCTTTGGGGGCAAAAAGAGACAGAAAGGCCATGATGGCACACACCTGTAATTTCAGCACTCAGGTGCTGGAGGAGTGGGAGTTTTGATGCTAGCCTGGGCTACAGAGGAAGACTCTTCTCTCAAAAACAAACAAGAAAAAGATGAGGTGTTTGGGCATGGTGGCAACATGCCAGTAACACCGGCACTTGGGAGACAAACACAGAAGCTTAAGTTAAAGACCATCCTCAACCACACAGCAAGTTCAAAGTCGGCCTGGAAGACATGAGACCCTGTTTAAAATAAGGGGGAGGGCTAAACAGTTAAGAGTTCTTGCTGCTCTTCTAGAGAACCTGAGTTCATGAGGTGGCTCAAAACTACCTGTAACTGAAACTCCAGGGAGTCAACAGCCTCCTCTTCTGGCTGGTGTGGGCACTCCTACATATAAACAACGTCAATAAATACACATACATACATACCACGCACACAGAGAAGTAACAGAAAGCAAGCTACCAGTGGGGGAGTCTCCCCCACAACTTGCTCTGTCTCTGGGCCTCCAACATGGATGCCCTAAAGGGCTAAAACTGACCTAAGACTGGATCTCAAGAAAGAGCCTTGTAAACCACCCTCAGGCTACTCTGAAAGCTAGCCTATCCAAAGGGCCTCAGAATACAGGAGCATATTCTTAAAAATAAATAGGGCCAAGTGTGTAGTTCAGTTGGTAGAGTTCTTGCCTAGCATGCTCAAATGTCCCGGAACTACATTAAAAGAAAAGAAAAAGAAAAAAACAAGCTGGGCATGATGGTGCACAGCTTTGATCCTGGAGCTCATCAGGAGGCAGAGGCAGGTGGATCTCTGTGAGTTTGAGGCCAGCCTGGTCTGCAAAGAGAGTACCAGGTCAGCCAAGGCTACACAGAGAAACCCTGACTCAAAAAAAAAAAAAAAAAAAAAAAAAAAGACAACATGTCAGCCATCTGTAATCCTAGCAGTAGGCGGAGGCAGAAGGATCCTGAGTTCAAGAACAATCTATGCTATCTGAGACCCCGTTGTTTCAAAGAACCAACTAGTAGGCCTAGAGAGATGGCTCCACAGCTAAGGGCACTTGATTCCAAGGTAAAAAGAAGGAAGGAACCAGCTACGGTAAGAGGTGGCATTGGGACCTGGGAGCAGGGCAGAACAGGCTTCATATCCCACAGACCGCTGTGTGACAGCTTCCCAGTAAAGGAGGGCTGCTCAGGCACCTGCAGTTACTGGGATAATCCTTTTTTTATTATTATTATTAATTACTTACCTATTTTGATTTTCTGAGATGTTTCTCTGTGTAGCCCTGGCTATCCTATACAGGGTGGCCTTGAACTCACAGAGATGCGCCTACCTCTGACTTCCTAGTGCTGGGATTAAAGGCGTGCACCACCACCACCCACTTGAGCTAATTCTTTCTGACTCCTATGTGTTGCTGGTCCTGTGTGTTTGTGACAGTTTCACTCTTATAGCCCAGGCTGGCTTCAAGGCATTCTTCCTGCTTCAGCCTTGCTGTGCAGAAAGCGAGTGCAGGGCAGAGATGCCTCCTACAATTAACTCACCAGTGGGTGTGCCCTCTATTAAGGCCCACACACAACCAGAGGCTACACAACTGAGTGGGTATGACTGTAAGAGAGCCACAGGTAGAGACTCACCCAAGGTGGGTTGGCAGGGCACAGTGCAGCTGCCAACCCTTGAAACTACAGCCCTGAGAGCTAACCTCCCTTTTCCCCCACTCCCTGGGACACACTCTACTGGGGAGCCCAAAGGAAACCTCAGAGCCCCAATCCTGAAGGGCTCCATCACAGCAACTCCCAGAGTGAAGAGACCTTGGGTCTCAGACAGTGAGCAGGTCCCTAGCCTGACTCTTCAAAATGCTGCATTCACCTCCGCACTCGGGAACCACCACCAGTTCACATGGCCATCCCTGGGCCTAGCTTTGAGGAATGGGACTGTCCTTGCGAGGCTCTTCTGCACAGGGACTTGGGTTGGCCCTCAATTACTCATCTACACAACACAGAAAGCTCCAGCCGACAGAGTTAACAGACTATATGCTGACCACCAGTTATACCTGGCCAAATGTGAGTGAGCTACCTAGATGCCCCCGTGGGTAGGGTATGACTAACCATGAATTATCACTAGTGGAATACAAATGATCCTGATTGCTGACCAGCCCAATTGTCACTTCCAAGTGACACTGCACAAGAAAAAGTAGATTTTCTTGCATATGCCCGTAAATTCCCTACAGCTCTTTCTTGGTTTTACAAAAGCAAACTCACAATAAGTAATCCCATGGTAAGCCCCACTGCCTCAAAACTTCAGACTCCACCAGTGAGAACTGAGAGAACACTAGCATGGGGTAGGCACTGGCCTGTGACGACAGGCAGATTGCTGCTGGTCACTGGTTGCTCAGGAATAAGAAACTGGGCTGACAGCCAAGAAACGACTAGGCCACCCAGCCTTGAGCTCTAAGAACAGGTCCACTGTCCCTCATAAAGAATGGCAGCACCTACCTAACTAAATGCTTGGGAGCAGGAGGCACGCTGGATGGTCACTTCTGGGTCCCTCACCAGTCCCAGATCCTCCTCCTGCCCAGCCTAAGGCCAAGGATCCCCATCAAGCTCCATCCATTTGCTGGCCACACCCTCAACTGGCCATAAACTCTCTTTTCACTTGGCCTGAAGCCACTTAGCCTAAACCACCCAGCATCCACAATGGGGGATGGGGGGGGGGGTCACACAGGATTTTCTCCAAAGCTGGAAAGAGAGATGACCCTCCCAGCAAGGGTGCCCAACACATGTTCAGCCCACTGCCTCAACAACCCTAGCAGCCCCTGACCATTCTGCCACCCTCCCCTTGACTCAGAACATACCACGGCTAAGCTCCTCTTGTCAGAGACATCCCATCGCAGGGAAGGCTGCACACACAGGGCATAGATACCAACACCTGCCTTGACACTTGCAAGCTGTGAAACCCTAGCCACTGAAATCTCTCCACTTCGGTTCTCCCCACTTTCATAAAGTGGTAATGCTGCCTTATATAAGATCATGGTGAAGTTCACATAGAAGTCAAAGGGAAGATGGGCAATATGACATGAGGATGAAAATGACCCATTTCCCCTCAAGTTTTCACCCAGGTATCCAATACAACCTCTCAGAGAGCTGACAAAACCCTTCAGTATCACCAGTCAGTGAAAGGACAGCGGTCAGGACCTACTCATTGCTGTATCCTTAACCCTAGCATCAAACTAGTGCTTGGGGCTGGAAAGATGGCTCAGCAGTTAAGAGCACTTTCTGCTCTTCCAGAGGTCCTAAGTTTAATCCCCAGCAGCCAAACGGTGGCTCACAAGCATCTATAATGAGATCTGGTGCCCTCTTCTGGCATGCAGGTGTACATACAGATAGAGTACACATGTACAAAATAAATTTAATATACTAAATAAATAAATTTAAAAACAAGAACAAAAAAAACAGGTGCTTTATAAATACATGGCTAGAAACCAGGCAGTGGTGGCAAACACCTTTAATTCCAACACTCTAAAGGCAGAAGCAGCCAGATCTCTGAGTTCAAGGCCAGCCTGGTCTACAGAGTGAGTTCCAGGACAGCCAGGGCTACATAGAGAAACCATTTTGAAAATAAATAAATAAACATGGCCAGAGACCAAACAAACATGCCCAAGTTTTTAATACTCTAATGATGCCTTTTATTTTTCTACTTCTTTTCTTAAGACAAGATCTCTCTCAGCCAGGAGTAGTGGCACATGCCTTTAAACTCAGCACTCAATGAGGCAGAGGCAGGCAGATCACTGAGTTCAAAGCTAGCCTGGTCTATAAATCAAGTCCAAGACAGCCAAGGCTACACAGAGAAACCCCATCTGGAAAAATAAAAAACTTAAAGTTTACAAGATACCCAGGGTGACAGCACATGCTTAAAGCTTGGTGGATGGAGTCAACAGGATCAGGAATTTAAGGTTATCTTAACCTACAAATCAAGCTGGAGGCCAGCCTGAGCTAAATGAGACTATATCATGGGGGAGGGGGGCAAGGAGATGGCTCAGCCATGTAACCATGAGGACCTGAATTTAGATCCCCCTGCATCCACACAAAGGTCATGCATCTGCAACCCCACAGGCAGAGACAAGTGGATCCCTGGAGCTCCTGAGCCAGTGTAGCCACACTCGTGAGCTCCAGGTTCACCTTAAGACCTCTTCTAAGAAACGAGGGGGAGATGCTGGCTGTGGTAATTTACACCAGTAGGAGATGCTGAAAAGGAGGCAGGAGACGCCAGGCTTGAGGCCGGTCTGGGACCCACATCTGGGCTGGAAAGACGACTGAGGACAGTTGAGAGAAGAGACTTCTATTCCAGGACCCAAGTTTCATTCCCAGCACCCACACAGCAGCTCACAACACAATACCAGGGGATCTAATGCTCTCTCCTGGCCTCTGACAACAGGGCACACATGTGGTGCACAGATATGCATGTAGGCAAAACATCCACACACAATTTTTTTTTTAATTTTAAAAATTAAAAAAATATATAAACAAATAAGGTGGGGAATGTTAGGTCTCACACTCAGGACAAATGAGATGCTTATCTTTAACGTATCAAAGAGGATGCTGGAGCCAGGTTTTCCCAGCATCTCTCTCGGTATATGTTAGAGCCACCTTGGCTGGCAGACCCCACCCCACTAGCCAGGGAATGGAATGGGCTTCTCTTCGCCCAGCCTCTGATCCCTATATAACCTCACCCATTCTGGCTACCGGTCTGCTTCTTGGTCTCTGGGTTCCCAGGTACTCTCTTTGCTCCCTCTCTTCTCTTCCTCTCTTGCTGTCCCCCAACTCTCTCCTTTCATGGCCATGTTTGGTCTGGGCATTTCTAGATGCCTCTGGATGCTCTCTCCCTCATACCCACAATAAACCTTCTCATCAGCTGTACCTGGGGAGCACTCCTCTGGTGCTGGATAGGGAGCTGGTGCTGAACTGAGGAAGTCATATGTACTCGCACATGCTTATACACACATACACTTACAAGGATGATGGAAACCACCAAACACCTGCTTTCTAGAGTCTGAATTCCACCTTCTAGGCACTTCCTATATCCAATTCTCACAAAACCATTAGACAGCAGGTCCAAAACTTCAAAGTGTGCCACTGTGCCCTATAGCTCCTTTTGGTTGGCTCAGGAGGCATAGGAGTCAGAGAGAACCCAGGGAGGGATGCAGCAAAGTCCAATAGCGTTAAGGCAAACCAGACTCCATTCACCATAAGGTCCTGCCCCAGCCCACAGTCCATCCTGGACAGACCTCCAGCTGTGGCCCCAGCTGAAAATGAACACACCTACAGGCTGGAACTCCACGCCCAGGGTACAACCAATAACTGTTTCCATGTTGGACAGGCAGAGGACCTGTGTATCTGTAGGCAGGCTATGGTACCTCAATCACTAAGCCTGAAACACCCAATGTTCTGGGGAGTCTACTACCTTCCACCAACACAGGGCTAGAAAAAGGGACAGTGTGAAGCCAGAGTGCCAGGAAGTCCAGGCACAGCAACCAGAAACCCCTACTGTCTCAGTCCCGTGTAGGACTGGGGCCAGAATGACCTCTCCAGAATACTGAGCAAATCATGCCTCACCCCACTCCCAGCCCCGCTCAGAAGAGACAACAAATGCAGGGTTCAAGTCCAGCGCCACATTTGCTCTGATCCCTTTCTTGGCTTCTGTATCCATCTTTACAAAGAAATCAGAAAACAAATGAACTCTAGGAACATGGTGATGATTCACTGAGAAAATCCTAGCAAGTGAGTCCCCTGAATATTTACGGAGCCCAAGAGTTTTGTTATTGCCATTTTGTACCTGCTAGGCCCTCAGGTGGGCCCTGTCTTAGTGCCAGCTGCAGGAGGGGAAGGGGAACCTTACAGGCGCTGCCAGCTGCTAGATCCATCAACAGGCAATCTATCCCCTAGGTACTGGCTCTCAACTTGAAAGTAAAGTGGAATCCCTGCCCGGATTTTATACCTGTGCAGCAACCTGCCCCACTGGCATTGCTGTCTACCAGCCTGTGCCACTCAGTGGACTCCTCCTCCTCCTTCAAGCCCAGCCCTGCCTGGCTGGGGTGTCGGAGCACGTGGCCCCAGCCCTGGGGAGCCATTACGCACCGAAAGCAGCAAGGCAGGCAGGAAAGAGATTGTAGGTTTCAAACTTAAGCACGCTGGAGAAACCTATCCTTGCGTGCACCACCACCATCCCCACCTCGACCCGGCCGGCTTGTAGGCTTCAGTGAACAGATGCCAAGGGCCGGCAACAGAAGTTTCAGGCATGATCATTTAACAAAAGTCCAGGGCGATTCGGCCACTGGCTGACCGCGATTTGTCTGGGGCAACCTATATAGGACCAAGCTAACTAAGTGATGTCCCAGGAGAGCTTGCAGACCTCCGACCACCCACCCGGACAGGAGACCCAACACTTTGAATTAATATTGGGGAACAGAAGTGGGACGGCAAAGTTTTCAGAGACCCGCATGCAACAAGGTGTAGACTTGCGCCTAGAAGCAGCCTCAGGTGCACCCTCCCCAAAAGGCCTCCCCACCTGGTCTGCCTAGCCCACCCAGTTGGCTACGGTCGAGCTTTGTGCAAGTAAAGCGTGGCCCCGGAGCGCCTACAAGTCCCACAATGCAGCACAGACCCGACATGGAGAACTACAGCTCCCGCGAGGCCGCGCGCGCAGAGGTCCGCCTACTCCAAGAGGGCTGCAGAGTCACGTCCAGGCCTCGCTAGTAAACAGCGCCCGGGCGCGGGCGGCGAGCAGGCGAGCTAGTGACTGCCAACGTGTAGGGGACCGCGACTTCCCTCCTCGAAGCACGGCCACTTAAATGACCACGTACGCCCCGCAGCCTCGAGCGAGCACGCCCCCAACCCTGCTGCAGCCCTGTTCTCTGCAAACGCTCACACCCCCCGGCCCCCCCCCCCCCCCCAGCCTAGAGCCGCGGCATGGCTGCATTGTAACTGTCCTCACGCATACCCCAGACCCCCAAAAAATCCCCTTAGAAGAAGGTTTCCAGAAAGCGCGAGGAAGCAAGGAAAGGAAGGAAGCCAAAGCGGGCGGGGGGAGGAGGAAGCGCGGGGTGAAAGCCACTAGCAGCAAGCATGGCCGGGACTGCTGCAGCACCACGTGGGTCTGTTTGCAATTTACAAACGTCGCGACTCGCCCGCCTGCAGCGGACAAAAGTGGCCAGGGCCTTTCGGGATCCCCACGTTCCAAGGGAAAAGGGTCCCCAGGCAGCGCGAGCAGGGCACACGAGACTGCAGCCGAGCGGGTGGCTAAGAAAGGCGAGAGAGCTCGGAGGAGCGGGCCATGCGTGCGCACACGCGCACCCGCCCGGGCGGGCTGGCCGGGGGCTGCAATGGGAAGAAGGGGTTGGGGGAGGAGCAGTACACACCTACAGAGCCCTCCTATCACTTCTTTCTCTGTTTTCCTGAAATGTTGCAAAGAGGGCACCTTCTGAGTGGGCACCATGAAATACTCCATAGCGTCAGGCCCCCCTCCACTGCACGAGCCAGGTCTCGCAGTCAGCCGGAGAATGCAAGATGGAAATCCGAATCAAAGGGCAGCGCCGGACGGAGGTGCAGAATCGGCCGGTCCCAGATGCTGGCGGCAGCAGCAGCGGCGAGGGGAGGGAGGCGGGCGGGAGGGGCGGGAGGGAGGTCTCTCCAGCCTGCCTCCCCGGGCGTGTGTATGTGTGTGTGTGTTTGCAGCTGATCAGATGTCTGTTTCAAGGCGGGAAACAGCTGGTGAAAACTCAGCACTCCCCCGGCCTCCTTCCGCGGAGTAAGGAATTGCATGTAAACAAAGGACTATTTGCAGCGCCCCCCCCAGGGCGACTGGATGCTGGGGCGAGTAGGGCGCAGGCTCCTTGGGACTGACTGCAACATGGGTCAGCAGACCTAACCCCAGGAGCAGGGGTCCTCCGGTCGCCAGCTGGCTGTAAGGGAATCGGTGTGAATGGAGCAAGCAGCGGCCCAGCTACATGCGCCACTATGGGTGATGAGGTCCATCAGCTGACAGGTTGGCAAGCGTAGCTTTAAAAAAAAAAAAAAAAAGAAAGAAAGAAAAGAAAAGAAAGAAAGGCCAGCCACGGCGCGGGATCCCAGCTTGTGCAGCACAGGGTCCGGTGGCGACTTCCCAGTGCAGGGTCTTTGCGCACCGGTGCTCAAGGAGACGCGCGCTGGGCGGTATTGCAGCAGCAGAGGGAAGGCTCCCTTGGGTGTGTGCTTCGGGATTTTGCTTTTTCATGATTGCCACTGCACAGAGCGGAGCCACTCTGGCGCGCTCCCTTTCGAGCCGACCCGGGCCCCCTGGAAACTTGCGTCATAGCCACCGCTTCCCACACGTAACTTGGGGCCGACTCTGACCACCGCTAGCCTCCGTCTCTGCTCAGCTGGCTGCCCGGCCGACTCTGGCTGGAACCTAAGAATTACAGAGTGAGAAGAGTACCAATGGCAAAGGCAGGTGCGCAGGGCACCACGGATGTTGGTACTGCCCTAGAAAGGGAGAACAAGCGGGAAGGGAGGGAAGGGCGGAGGCAAGCCAGAACAGCAGCGGCCCCTGAGGCAGGCTGCCAGCGCGGCCCGAAGATCCATTAGAGTGGTGGTGGCTGCCAGGTCCTGGCCTGGCTCCTTCACTACCTTATTTTCCGGCTTCGCGCTCAGCGGGCTGCAGCTTCTCATTCATAGGTTAGGCGGGGTGAGTTGCTCCACCGCCAGAGGGCGCTCTCTACTATGGGGGGGAGTGGTGGTCTAGGGCGGGGAAGGTGGGACATTTTAGGGGTGAGCTTCCGTCCTCCACCACGCCCCCATCTTCCGGCACGGGCCCTCCCCAGACTCCCAGAGGGCTTGGCCGCAGGCTCAGGAAGCCCACGCCTGCTTTGGAATGTCCTCACTCCTGCACAGCGCCTTTTCCTGCCCCATCCGCCTTCCAAGGTTCCACACAGATCTCGCCTCTTAGTTGGAATACTTCTATTAATAACAATTGTTAGTTATGGGGGCTGGAGAGTTGGCTCAGAGGTTAAGAGCACTGCTTGCTCTTCCAGAGGTCACAAGTTCAATTCCCAGCAACCACATGGTGGCTCCCAACCATCTATAATGAAATCTGGTGCCCTCTTCCTGGCATTCAGGTGTACATGCAGGCAAAACGTTGTATACATAATAAATAAATAAATCTTTAAAAAAAATTGTTAGTTATTAATAGAAAACATCGTTATTAGATATTACCAACATCCAGGACATACCTAGTTAGTTTTACATGCATTATTTGTCAGTCTTCAGATCAACCTGTTAAGCTGCTTCTCTACGTGTGTATTCACAAGGAGATTTAACTTAAAATGCAGCACATCTAGGCAGTGCATACCAGTTATCCAGCATTCTAGCACCTGGAGAGCCAAGACAGGAAGATCTTGCATCCAAGAATAGTTATAGAAATTAAGTCTCTAAAAGAGAGACCGGAAGGGAAGAGAAAGAAGGGCAAGTGAAATGGCCCCATAGATAAAGATGTTAGCCGCCAAGCCTGACGACATGTGTTCCATTCCCAGAATCCCCGTGGTCCAAAAAGCGAACCAGCACTCATAGGTTGTCTCCTGACTTTGGCATGTGCACCATGGCACGCACATAAGTACACACACACACTAATTTTTTTAAGAAAGAAAAGAGTATGGAAAAAGGGCATTTGGGGGAATCTCAATCCCCCCAACAGGGTTTCTCTGTGTAGCCCTGGCTTTCCTGGAACTCTGTAACCCAGGCTGGCCTTAAACTCACTGAGCTCCTCCTGCCTCTACCTCCCGAGTGCTGGGATAAAAGGTGTGGGTATGTCTGTGCACCCTGTGTCCTCTGAGGCCAGAATGCAGATTCACACACATGTGCTTAGACACACATATACATAATTAAAAATAAAGATAATGGCAGGAGTAGTGGTGGCTCACACTTTTAATCCCAGCATTCCAGAGGCAGAAGCAGGCAGATTCTCTGTGAGTTTGAGGACGGCTTGAGCTTGTAAAAAATTCCAAGCCAGGCAGCATTCCATAGAGACACTTTGTTTCAAAAACAGGGGTGGGGAGAGTGGATGCTCGGTGGTTAAGAGATCATCCAGAGGACCCAGATTTGATTGTGAACACCCAGATGACGGCCACAACCAGCTGTAACTCCAGTACCAGAAGATCCAGTGCCCTCTTCTGGCATCTTTGGGCACCAAGCATGCACGTGGTTCACAGACATTTAAAAAAAAAAAAAAAAAAAGGTCCAGAGGTGCTACTCAGAAGGCAGAGGCAGGCAGGTCTGAGTAAAGGCTATGTGAATTATATCCAGTAATGCTATTTTGAGTGAACTCAGGGTCATGCTGGGGAGTCAACAGAGGCCTGCACATGCTTAGCAGACATCTCGCTTCAGAGCTAGGTCCCCAGCCCACAAAGTGTTATTTGCCAAAGCACTTTTCCTGACTCCAGAGATGATCAGAAGTCTGCAGAACGCTAGGAAACGGTCTCCTAGAGCAGTGTTTCAAGCTGTCTTTCCTCGCCAGCACAAGTCCTCCACACCCTTCCCAGGACACTGCCCTCATCCCAGGCTGCTAGAACAGAGATGGAATCCGAAGAACTAACAGCTGCCACATAGTGATAGCACAAGCCTTTAATCCCAGCACTGGAAGGCAGAGGCAGGTGAAGGCCAGCCTGATCTACAGAGTGAGTTTCAGGACAGCCAGAGCTACTACAGATAAACCCTGTCTGGAAAAATAAAAAAAAAAAATAAAAGTAACAAATAAAATAAATAAAGCTATAACCAAGCTTAGTGCAGTGGCTCACACCTGAAATTTCAGCACTTGAGAAGGTGAGGCAGAAAACCCTCTCGTTCAAGGCCAGCCTGTGTTACAATGTGAGACCCCATCTCAAAAAAGAGAGAGAGAGAGAAAGAAACCTATTCCTGAGTAAGAGGAGCTGCAAGTTTACAATTTTTCCTTATGTCTCTCTGTCTTTGGAGGGAGTTGGTGTACATGTGTTCTGGTGGCAACAGATCAGGGATGTCTTATCTGTTAGAGCTGGAGTGACAGATGTGGTGACCCATCAAATGTGGGTGCTGGGAACTGAACTCGCTCCTCTGCAAGAGCAGGGCGTGCTCTAAACCACTGAGCCATCTCTCCAGCCCCTGCACTTTTTCTTTCCTTTCTTTCTTTTTAAATACTTTTTAAAAAAAAAAAAAAACGATTTATTTATTTTTATTTCATGTGCATTGGTGTTTCATCTGCATCTTTGTTTGTGTGCCAGTGTTGGATTCTGTTGAGTTACACACAGTTGTGAGCTGCTTTGTGGGTGCTGGGAACTGAACCTGGGTCCTCTGGAAAAGCAGCCTGTGCTCTCACCTGCTGAACCATCTCCCCAGCTCTTGACCCTGTGCTTTTCTTATTTTGATTTTGCAGTGCTGGGGCCTACTAGGCAAGTACTTTGTTACTGAGCCACATCCCCAGTCCTGATGTAAGTGAAGGAGGGAGAGATTTTTCCTGTTTCTAAACAGCTGCCCTACATGTATCTACGACACTCTTTTTTTGAGTTCCTATTGCCATATAACAAATTCCCACAAGGCTAGTGACTTAAAATTGTACTCATGTATCAGAGCTGGGAATGTAGCTCAGTACAGTCCTTATCTAGCATTCCTGAAGCCCTGGGTTTGATTCCCTAGTGCCAAACAAACCAATATCCTCAATGCCAGTACTCCAAAGGTGGAAACAGGAAAATTAGAAATTCAAGGTCATCCTTTTGGTTCAAGGCCAGGATGACTACGTGAGATCCTGTTTCGAAAACAAACAAAACCTTATACCTACATATCAATTGACTAAACAAGTACCTGTGTGCCAGTGTTATATGACAGAATGTTCCCTGGGTAGACAACACACACATCTACTCACCCAGACAGGGAGCCCACAACGGACCAATGTATAGATACACCAAAGTCCAACTTGGTGACCCGGAAAGGATGAGTTTAGTTGGAGTTATTTACAGGAATGTGGGTAAGAGTTACTTACAAAAGTAGACATTAGTCAAAGACAGCTGCATCACCAAGGTCCACCCCAGCATGGGCAACAGCTTGTAAAACCCAGGAAACCTGGAGCACACTGCAGAGCCTGCAGGCAGCTGAACAGGTTGCAAAGCGTCCTTTCCAAGTGATTTTGGTCTAAACCTATTCCAGGCAGCTCCCCTGGGTTCTGCTTTTCCCTGGCAGCTGGTCTGTTCCCAGAGTCTTCATTGCAGCTTGACTCTGCCCTTCTGAAAGGAACTCTCAGTTTTTATTGCTTACTCTGACAGGGCAGGGTGTAGTGAATCTGGTCACTTTCAGGAACTTCCTGAAAGCTGTTTTAAGTTGTCTCCCTTCTGCTTAAGGAGCTTCTCTGAAGAGTGGAATTTTTCAATCTTAGAGTAAACTATCACACAGCAATCGGTAATATAAATGGAATTTCACCGTTTTCATTTTTTTCATTATGCCACACGTTAGGTCACAAGTCTAGGTCATGTGACTAAACTGGATCCTGGGTTTGGAGCCTTGATAGATGAAGTTAAAGTGGAGGCTCTGAGGCTTGGGATGCTCCTCCAGGCCCTCTGATTGTTGTCTGCAGAATTCTTCATTCAGCTGTAGAGCTGAGGTACCCACT